GGTCTTGTTAAACACGTATGCCTTACGTCCACAAAAACTGTACGCAACCACAGGGAGTAGCTCCGCATCGTAGTGCAGCAGCTGGTAGAGGAGGTACGAACCGGCAGCCATCGATTTCCCGATACCGGGCGTCCCAGTCAACAAGCGCGGATGAGGCGTAAAGTGGTCCTCAGGACGACTGCTGAACAACTCGGTGAGATCGCCCTTGACGATCTGCCACACTCGATCCACCTCACAGTTCACATAGCAGTCGGTACTTGCATCCCTGCACGGGTGCGGCCATGCCCTCTCCGAGGTAAGCACCATCAGCCTGAGACGTGGTGCACCGGATGGCTCCACACCGTCATCCTTTTCGAGGGTTCGGCCAACTGCCTTGTACGTCCATGACTGCGGTGGTTCCCCCTCATGCACCTCCATTCCCGTCCCCTCGCCGCCAGGAACTTCCATGACATGATGCCACCTCGCATTGTACACAGACTTGTAGTCTTCCCACGGCCTGTATCCTTCCACCCGACTGTCAAGAGCCCACATTAATCGCCGCACCTTCTCCACTCTTCCGCGAGTCGCAGCGGGTTGATCTGTGTCACCCTCAGACTCCGGCCTCGCTCTCCTCCGAATATCTCCCTGCGGCACAGCAGACGCTTGATTTCCAGGCATTGCTTCCTTCTGTTCTTTTAGTTGGATTGAGTCAAAGCTGAACACTAACCACCGAACAGGAGGAGAATAAGAGAGAGATGGGGTAACTAGGCACAGACATCACGGGCAGCCACAGCAAGAGAGTCATCCACACAGTGTGCGACGCACACCACATGCACGAGGACCGCCGCAACGACGGCGCGCGGGTGCCAACCACCCAGCACAGTGTTGGTGAGAGCAAACAATAATAGCAACGTGGTGTGCACGGAGGGTTCGCCCACGCATCCCGCTGGCTACGGTCCGCACCCCTGTGGCACCGCCTTCACCGCACACACTCTGCAAGAGGACGTGCGGGCATATCGCCACGGACGACAGTGGGGGATCGTCAGCCAGCCACACGCAGACACCCAAAATCACACACGCCACAACAGCGGCGCATCATGGTAATTTCCAACACAACAGAAAGGAGTGCAATCACATGCTTTATGAAAATCCCCGCAATTCGCGCGGCAAAAAAGAGCCATGACACTCCCTTTCTTACTGCACTCGCCGTTCATATTCCCAATGCGCAACCCTGCAGATGTTGCCCCGCCATGGTGAAAACAACTGCCTCGCTGTGGTGTCATCGCGCAGCCATCCGCCTGAGTAAGAACAAAAGGAAACTCAGGCGTCCGTCCACCTGCAGGGAGGAGGGACTCCACCGCAGTGTCCTTCATGACGCAAACACCCCACATCCAGTGCCCGGTGTCGTGTGCAGGCTCCGCGAGGAGGTTTTGGGCACGTCACTGTGCCACACGGTGCGCCCCCTCGAAACACAACAGCAGACGTGTCCCCTTCCGGTCGCACTTGTGTCAATGGCGGCTTCCGCTGCCTCACTGCGTGCTGGTGGCGTCGATTACGATGCCGCAGAGAGTGAGAGAGAGAGAGGTCGCCCACTCAATGCAATGGAAAGAAAAACAGTTACGGTGCTCCGCCCATGCAGCCAGGCAGGACGGCAGCGGTGCGTGTCGTGCAAAAGAGAGCACCAACGGGCCTGCATGAGTGTGCATGCATATATACAATGGGCACATTATGTGTGTGCCTCGTGGGGTGAGGTGAGGGCGAGAGTCCATGCAAGGGACACACACACAGAGAGAGAGAAGGAAGAGTGTGTGTGCGGGCGGTGCATGGCTCTCTCTCCCTCACTCTCACGCGGCCACCACCGCAGCCGCAGCCGCACACGCAAGAACAACAAGAAGAAGAAGCAAAAGAGGGGAGGTGGTGTGGGAGACCGCGGTGCTGCTGTCACTGTCTTCAATCGTTGCACTATGTTTTTTGGCAGTGTATGTAAATGATGTTTGTTTCTCGCTGCCATCCACTTGTTCTTGATGTGGTTCTTCCTCCGGCACCTCAGCATTGACTGCTGAACCATCGTTTGCAATCTCTACATTGCTTTTGTCAGCGTCATTGGCGGCAGCATCATCCACAGGAGAAGATGGTGAGGTTGTTTCAGCATGACCCTCAGTTACTGCATTCTGCCTTGCATCTGTTGTTGGCTCAATGCCTTTTGACTGCGGATCTTCAGTTGACTGCGTGGTATCTGGGACTTTCTTTGAGGATGGCAGTGCGCTCTGTGGCAGTGATTTCGGTGGCGGTGCTGATGGACCTCCTGGTGCCTCTACTTCTGTTGCTGTTGGCGGCAATTCCTCGGATATTAATTTTTCTTCCGGTGGTTTTGGATGTCGCAGGGGCATTGACCCTGCTTTTGCCTGTTCTTCGGTACCAGCCGTGGACGATCGCAAAGTTCCAGAGAGCAACGTTGTATTGGATTCATTTCCCGGAGCTCCAGAATGACGGGTGTTGATTGAAGCGGTCAATAATTCAAGCGTTTCAGTTGCAGAGTCATGCTCTTTATTGCGCGTGTTGCCAGTCGAATCCACCTGATTTCCTTTTCTTATATTTTCCATATTATTCTGGTTCTCCTGAACACCTTCTGACAATCCCTGCAACACGGGCAAACTCTGTTTATTGTCAGTCGGTGTTTGAGGCTGCGGTGTTTGCTCTTGACTGTCGCCGTTCAATGCGTCCCGTGTGGGACCCGAGTTGGGTGCAGTCGCATGCTCTGCTAATTCCTCGGACGGCTGCGTCGCAAGTCCTGGTTGTCCACCTGCTGGCGCTGGTACTGGAGGTGTCTGCACGCTCGCTCTTGTCCCTGGCACGTGTGGTACTTCGTCTTCGTTTTGTGTCGCCATCTGCTGATCGGTGTGAAATTACGCATTGTCGTTTTGCTCGTTGTTCTGGTCCGCGGTGCAAATTGACAAATCCACAGCAACAAGTGGCGGCTGAGAGCACATACTCGACAGCGGCGAATCTTCGCCGCAGCCTGCTGAGCATTGGGCCATCGGATTTCACGGCTGGTATGCTCAGGGAACGAGAGTCGCACGCACGGCGCACTACTTGCCGCCTATTGCCGTCAGTGGCCTCGAGTTTGGTGCGGAGTGTGCGCCAGTTCCACCAGACCTGGACTGTTGCCATGGTGGCTCTCCGTATTCCTGATGCAGTGTGCTTCGCTGTGCTGTCCATGTTGGCTAGTCTTCGCGGGATTCTGCGGAGCTAGTTGGTCATCGCGCTGTACCTATTCCAATTCGCTTTCTCACATGCTAATAATGTCTTGTCACGCCGCGGTACCACTGCGGGTGATTCGTCGTCCCCCTATCCAGAGCATCAAGGAGGATGGTACAGTGATCACTGTCCGGTGAGGGCTGTGCTGCCCAGTGGGCGACGACACAATCCTTGGACAGGGCGATGTCGGGACGCTGAAATGCCTTGTCGCTCGGTGTACCTCGTGCACTCACCAGCGCTGACGACCTGAAGTACATGCTCAATGCACCGCTGCACAATGGTATCGCCACGGGAGTCTGATGGGATGCTGCGATCCCAAGCCTCCGTGTGTGCGTCGACGTCTGCGCCCATTAGTGGTGGCCCGTCCGCGCAGAGCAACACATCCAATTCCCCGGCTGCTATACTCTTTGTACAGGAGGGAGGGAGACACACCGACAAAAACGCCAGCTTCATTCCTGCCTCTGAACGGATGATCGCCTGCGCCAGCCCGATCCCGGCAGCAGGGCCGGTCCCGCTTCCGCCCGTGGCCCCTCACAGACAAGAATGGCCACACCGCCGCCTCGACAGGTGCAAGCAGTCCCGCAGTGCTGGAACCGTGGCAGGGTAAAACTAGTGACTTCAGGGTCGGGTAGTGGTATCAAATTGGAAAAAACAACAACGCAAAGTGCGGTAACCAAAGCGATGTTTCCGCGCGGTTTCTTCGCTATAGGGTCGTAGGGCGGAGCAGAAGCAAAAACCTTCCCAAACGAAATACAAGCAAATGATTCTTTTCCCTTATTTTACTTTAATGTTCCTAACGCCAGTGGGCCATGTGCTTCGACTCACCGTCTCGGCAACGCACCGTGCTTCCCCCTCTCCCCGTAACCCACTACCTTTTTTTTTTTTCCTTTCCGGCTTTTTATTATCAAAGGGAGGGATGAAAGTTTTCTTCTTGCTTCTTCTTTTTTTTTTTTTTTTTGCGCTGCATCCGCACAACGCCGCAGTTGCCTCCGCCTAACCAAAAGGCAAAGAAAAAAAAAAAAAAAGGCACATGCGTTTTCATTTTACCTTTTCCTCTTCGTGGGATGTCATTCCGCGGCCTCAGCGGTGTCACGCCCGCAATCCCCCTCCTGCCGCATACACCTATACACTCTCACAGAAAGAGAACGAGAGGGAGGGGAGGAGGCACACAAAAGAGTAAACCCCAACCAATAAAAAACAAAAACAAAAACAAAAAAACAAAAAAACAAAAAAAAGGAAGTTTGCAATGGAACGAATGGAGGGGGGACGACGACGACGACAACAACAACAACAGGACACGTCCATATGCATACACAATGACGGAGTGGGGGGACACACACACACAAGAAAAGAAAAAAAAAGATGACGATGAGAAGGCAAAGTAAACCATAAGAAAGGACAGATGAGAAAAACAAAACCAAAAAGACATATATATATATATATATAAGCGCAAAGACGCTTCCGCTGGCACACACACACACACAAAAATAAAGTAGAGAAAAACACTCCGAAACTATGACAGTCAATCCCCCGCCCCCCTCCCTCTTCCTCCCCCTCTTCGTTGTCTTGCCGGCTTCAATCCACGCTCGTTCCCTCAAAAAGAGCAAAGTTTTTATTTGCCTCTTTTATTGTTACCCTTTTCCCCATCTTTGATTCCCTTTGTTTCTATTCTTCTCTCGCCTTCGTGACCTCCCGTTCCCTCCCTTCTCTTCTCTTCCCCTTCTCCCTTCCACTTTCCTTAATTTCATTTTGCCACAGCCGAATCAACGACGGAGCGCCTCCCACTTGCTGTCGTCCCTCGGTGCTGCCTGTGACTTCGGGGGGCCCCGGTGGTTCCCGCGTCCAGCGCCATCGCTTGCCCATCCTCCCTTGCGGCCGTCCTCGCCATTGTTTTTGCTGTTGTCGCCCCCAGAGCCTGACCCGGGCGGCGGCAGCGGCGGCGGTGGCGGTGGTTGTGTCATGGGTTCATCGCGCCAGTTTGCTAGGCAACCTGCTGAAACCGGGCTCTGCCGCTTGCTGTTGCGACCACCGCCCATGCCGCCTCGACGGTCCAGCTCGGCATCGCTTCGGCGGTTCTCCGGCAGACCGGTATGAAACTCCGGCTGCGCCACCGGACCCTCATTTCGCCAGCTCGAGAAATCGGGTTGTCCCACCGGACTTGCCGCACTCTCGGAGCTCCGAGTGGCTGTCCCCAACGTATCGCGGGAGAGATCAGCTAGCATATGAAGGTCGTTCCTGGAGCAAAACCCAGATCGGTGTCCCATCTCGCGCTCTGTCATTTGCGTAGAGCCAAAGGCATCGCGGGTGAGATTCAACTGCTGCAGTCCAGCACCCTGCTGTGACTGTCCTGGGTTCTGTCGTGAAATCCCATTGTGTCCGTGGAGCCGCTCCACCTGTTTCTGCGTGGCTAAGTCTACGTAGAGCTTGCGTCCCTTTACCATTGTTTGATCCATTGCGAGAGCGATGGCAAGAGCCTGAGCCGTTTTGAACTCCACAAACGCAAAGCTCTTACCATCTTGACTAATGAGTCGCGAAGTGACAATGCAATCCTCGTGAAAGTTGCGGAGAAATTCCTCTTCGGTGGTGCCGTTGCGAAGGTTCCCAAAATGCGCCACAAAGGGCGGCTGAAGGTCATTTATCCCTTTGGTGCGGTTGACCGGCTCGCTGGGGCTATCACGAAACCCACCCTTTTCCATCAGCGCATTGTTTGCCGTACGGCTGTAATCTCTCTTGGCGATTTTTTCCCCCGCCAACTCATCCCGCGACTTTTCCCGTGGAACTTCCACTGCCCAATCTAAGTTATCTTCCGGGATGTACTCATCGTTGAAGTCCACAAGGTTGATTGTCTTTCCGCGTCCTCCCTTCTTTTTCGCTGGCATGCTATTTATAATTTATGAGTTATTTATTTATATTTAATTTACTTTATTTTTGTCTTTTCTATTTCCTATCCTTTTTAAATACTTACTTTTCCTCTTCTTTTCCCCTCTGCCTTTATTTATTTATTTATTTATTCTCCCACGTCCCGTTTCTAGCAGTGTCTTTGGGTGAAGGGGAGCGGGTTAGGGGTAAAACACACACACGCACACAAAAGAAAATAAAAAAAAAAAAAAAAAGAAAAAAGAGGGGAAAGAGAAAAGAAGATAAAAGAAAAGAAAAAAATGCAAATAAAAAAGAAGACCCTCTATTCACCGTGGGACAAACAGCAAGTTTGATGCGTTGCCATCCGCTGTACACACAAACACACAGAAATCGCACGTCCATATGACATTTACGAGTTGACATCCCCAAGCAAGACGCTCCCTCATCACACACACACACACACACACACACACGACACACACGACACACGACCCAGGAAAAAGATAGGAAACGGCAAAATAATAAAATTGAAGAGTCTGCAGCATCAGCAGGGACACCACGGCTGGGCGGGAGACTCCACTCCCCTTCGTTGCGTTCCTCCTCCTTCCTTCCTTCCTTTTCCCTCCCCAGCTCCATCATTGCATGTTCGCCCGCAGAGAGTTTTGTTCGGCCTTCGCCGTCGTTTTAGGCGTCACGAAAGCGGGAGAAACTGACGCACCCGACACACGACGTGCCGTAGAGCCTGTCGATGAGCACCGGCCGATGCTTGGCATCCGTGAGCGAAAACCGTCATTAGTTAATAACTTGTCATCACGCGGCCTCAGTGCTGCTCGCGCCTCCTCCACGCGCTGTTCCAAGAGCAGGAGCAGCGACTCTTCATTCTTCTGTTGACACTTCTCCAGCAACTGCTCGGCTTTTCGAAGCGTTGCCTCCAAAGTGCCGCGGTGACCCTCCGTTTCCTGCTTTGCCAAATTGGCGGAGCGATACAGGACAACAAACTCGTCTTCAAACTCCTTCGTGCGTGTGCGCTGGGCACCCTGCAGGATTCGGTGCGAGTCGACAAGCTTCATCAATTGCACTTGGGCTTCTTTTAGTTCAAGACGCAGCTGAATGGTTTCAAGGTCGCTTACTGAGGGTGCCGTGTTTTCACTGACAGTATCGTTCGCAGAGCCATCGCTCCTACTCCACGAGCTCCTCCCAGAGAGGGCCAATGCGGCAACATTCTTAATGTTTGTGCCACGCCGCAGGTGGTAACACAACTCCTTACGCTTTTGCAACAAGAGAGCCTTTTCTGCAAGAAGCAAGCCTTTTTCAAGTCGCCACTCTTCCTCCTCTCGTGTCATCTCTTTTTCTTCTCCCACTTCCTCTTCCTCTTCGTTTTGTCGTTTCCAAGCGGTGTTTGCTTTATTCTCCGCATCCTTCACTTGGGCGACGGGCTTTTTCCTCGCCTGATTGCCGTCAAGTCTTTCGACATGGCGGGCCTTGGCGGCGTAAAGCTCCTTGTTCACCAACTTGTGTTTCGTTGCAAGTGCCTTCATCTCACCCTGTGTGTCATGGAGAGCCTTCTCGGTGCTCCCTAAATAAATTTTGTAGCAATTCTTGTCCTCCACGCTGTGTATTACATCCACCCACGCATTCACCTCATTCAAAAGGGACTGTACAGGTGTATTTAACATGTACGGTGGTGGGGACGGGGCGGATACCAACGTTTGTGACGGTGCCCCAACTTCTATAGATCTAGTGTAAGGTTTTACTCCTTTTTCTACGGTACCCTCTGTATACATGTTAGGGGTGCCACGCATGTTACTCCTGCCCCGCGGGCTAACAAGGGTGTTATTCATTACATTTCCGTAAAGCCTCAATTTCGTCCCATTGACGCCGTATTGCGACGCGGCCGCAACCTCCACAATGGGATACGGCTTCGGTGGAGGCAACGCCGATGGAAGGCTATCGGCGTCATCATCGTCGCCGTACATCACTGGATGATCAACCAAATGGAAGCGCAAGCTGGGAGGAGACCGTGAAGGAGAAGACCTCGTCGTCGCCGTGGCGGGATTCGGCATTGCGGATCTCTGGATTGTACGCGGAGTCAAGACACCAGGCAGTGGTGTCGCCTTCATCGCGTCCGGCGTCCCCCGCAAGTGATCCTCTGAACCGGTGGGTGCGGACATATGAAGGCGTTTGCTGCCGGAGTCCATACCCGGCTCCAGCTCAAAGACGATACTTGCGCGGTCGCCGTGAAGTGTGGCCGGTTCACTCACAGTCTCAATGTTAAACGACGATGGCGAGTCGGCGATGGAACTTTTTTCGCCCCACGCGGTGCTCCCGCCATTCGCGGCTTTTGGTATGAGCCGTGCAACTTGTGGCTCCTCCGATGACGGCAGGCGTTCCCCGACAGAATGCCATCGTCTGCAGTAATACCGGCTGGCGGTTCGCGTGGGTGTTGTCCGCGGTGGTCCGCCCGGTGTTCGCCGACCGTCCGGGAGTGACGGGCCGCGGGATTTTGGGACCAACGGCGGAACCAAAACGGAGGAATTTGCCCCAGAGACGGACTCACACTGACGGATTTCCATCATTCGCTAAGGAATAGGGGGTGGTTCTCTGTATTTTACTTTATCTAAGTCAGCAGGACTGCGTGATCGGGGAAATGGAGACGCGTGTCTCACACGATTATTGCCCTTCTGTTTGCTTCTTTCCGGCTTCACTACTTCGCCGCTGCAGCCGATCCACGCGGGAAAGAAAAGAAAAGGAAGTGAAATGAACGGTGGAATTACACACCTCTCCCTGCACTTAGCCAAAGTCGCCCGGGGGTCTGAACACCACCAGCG